CGATCGAGTGGAAAGCCAGCTGTTCAACTACCACTTTATTGGAAAACAACCCGTATCAGTTACGGATCACAAACCACGCTCCGAACACCACAAATCTTATTAGAGTAGGATAACCGTTCCAATCGATTGACCGAAACATAGCTCATCTGCGATCCTCAATCGGTCCGCCTCCGAGATGCATTGTTTGCCTCCGCCGAATCTGGATTTGATTTTCATGTCCTAATCAAAAGTAACCTGGACGGGCAAGAAGCTTACTCAATCGTTGTTTTACTGCCGGAAGAAGCATAAATGTTATATCGTTCAAGTTCGGTATTTCGGTCTCCTTACGAGGACCAGGAAGATGTGATCAGCGTGCCAGTGCAAGGAACTTTTCCCGCTCTATTTCACATAACGAGATGCTCCCCTATTTTCTTAGGATTTACTACGGGGACTTCCCCCTGTTTGTATATCCCTCACTCACGTGTGCCATGGGCGAATAACATCACCTACATCATCTAGTTTTCGTTTAACTGGGACATCATATTAGTTCCTGTTGAGTACCCACCGTATATGCTCTTCCATTTATTGTCCATTCGATCTGACATTTCGCATTATTTTCCTCAAAATATCAAATGATTTCGAATTCCGATTCGTCTGAGGCATCGCGATTCTTGAGCCTCTGCTTCATGGAAACCTTTCTTTGAATGAGTAAATAATTTCAGGATTGATCCACGGAAAAAAAAGATGTAGTGAACAAGCTTGCTTTCAGCGCTTCAGCTGACTGTAGATAAAAGCACATTATAAAAAACGATGAAACATCACAGAGAGAAAGTTGAATTAGGTTTTTCTATGTAGGAGTTAAAGGCTCGGAGGGGATGTTCAAACGGTAACCGTATAGTTGATGCTACTCCCCTACGAAGTATGAATATTCGATTGATTTGTCAGGTGGGACACTTCGGACACAGGAAGGGAAGCGATTTGCCGAACTGGTTCTGTGTGCATAGTAGGGGATTATTTGTTCTTATCGCTGTCGCCTCCTCTGTAGATAGCCGTTGGGTTTTGACATCCTTTCACCGGATCCCCGTTAGTGAACAGATTGGACGGAGAGATTCCTGCCCATCCACGGTGTGGTTTATCTCGGTCAACAACCGCAATTTAATATGCTCCTATCGATCTTCAACTGAACCAAGTTGGGTGGTGTTCTCTCGTTTGGGTGATCAGGGGTCTTGGGGCGCGGCCCATGCAACTTGCGCCAAGTAGCAAGTAAACTGATAGACACAAAAAGAGATCATTTGCATCGTAGCCTGTCCTTCATCTGTAATAGGCGAACTGATTCGGTAGAAAATGCACGATTTCACTGGAAAATAGGTATACTTCTCAGCTTAAAATCCTGTATTGTTTTCCTGAGTTACATAATGTGCTGTAATTGACCAGTAGATAAAAAGCACTGAAAGCGGGCTTGTTCGCCATATGTTTGTTTTTCAAACAAACCTTCTTGCAGTACACAAACGGGTGATAAGTAGCACCCGTAATCCAGATAAGTCGTCATCATCATCATCGCACAGCGAAATACAGAGAAGCGAACTTCACTGATCGCTGCCAAACTCGCAATGCATCTGCACTGGGGTTTGATGGACGGGTACTGCTAGGGTGTCCAGCTACTAAGTAGGAGAACGATTAGGGTTCTCAACCAAAGCCTGTAGTTCCGATAAGAAACTAGCCGTATAGCAGCGGGTGATGCGAAGTGGAGGCCCATTCACTTGGATCAATTCTTACTCCTTCACCATTTTTTACCGGCTAAAGCACAAATCCCAGTCGAACCCCTGACCTGGAGGACCAGGAGACCGGACTTCGTCTGACCTCTACCCATTGACCTTCCAGGCATGATTAGAACTCCTGGCTTGACAAAAGCCATCCTGTGTAGCTCGTTGGGTCAGAGTCTCGTCGTACCGAAACTCAGATAAGTACCACTGTAATGTCAATAACTTTTTTATTTTTATTTTGCTTCCTTTTATGATATACACAATATTGCAATTTTCAGGAAGAGGGGAGCGATCAATCAAAGGACTGCCATTCAATACTCAGTGGGCAAAGTTAGGCAGGGTGGTAATGGGATTCGAAAATACAATACCGGGGTGATAATTTGGTGACGTTACCACCTAACCACCACTTACAATTTGGTCACAAAGCGGTAACCAAATAGTAAATCATCAAAAATGCAGCATCGTCCAATCCACTGGAAAATGGGCGTGACCCACGTTAATGAAGAAAAACAAAACAGAACGGTTGCCTTAAAAGTGGAACATTTCAGATGCGACAGCACACTATGAAATATATATCTATATGTTGAATTGCACTTTGTACGGAGACGAACATAACTGGTTTCTATTTTCCTAACTTTTTGAACGCTTTAAAAGTTATCACTTTTTAAAGATGTTATATTTTGAAAATTGGAGTGCAGCTTAAGTGATAAGTAATCTTCGTCCATTTGGATTGACGACTCGCGATGTGAGGAAGCAAAAATTGAACTTTTACAAACAAACAGAGTTTTCAGTTTCAGTTGTTTACAACCATCAAACATGCATCCTCGTGCGCCGGTCCGGGTTGTTATCTTTTGGCCGCCCATTTGGATGCAACAGCAGAATGAAGATTTGAATGTTGAGA